CCCCCAGGAGCCCTCTTTAAACAAGGGAGGATCTCCTTCACCCGCCTGGGTCCAGCTCCAGGGTCCCTGGCTAGCCCTTGGGCTGCACACCTGGGAATCCCACTAAGGCAGGTTCCCACTGACTCTCCTCCCCCAACCCCGTTCCAACTGCCCCCCCCCTCAAAAATAAAAAAAGGAGCAAACGGATCTGGGAGCTTTGAGTACCCAGAAACCTCTGACCTCGTGGCCCCCACTCTGAGTTGAGCCCCTCTCAGGATTGCAATCCCCAGAAATTCTCTCCCTTCTGAAGGCCCCAGTGGGAAAAGAAGTTCCCACCAGTCCCCTCCCCCTCTTCTCTCCTTCCCCCAGACCCTGGGGGAGGGGATGAGGCACCCAAATCCCCGGTCACCAGGGCAGCGACTGCTGTGGATCGCAAGAAACACACACACACACACACACACACACACACACAAGCACGCACCCGCACGCACGCACGCGCACACACACACACACAAGCCACCCTCAGGATCCCCTCTGAAGCCTGCATTGTACGGGAGGGAGGAGGCCCAGTTGGAGGGAGGAGGCTGAGGTTGGGGAGGCCCGGCGACGATCCTGAAGTCACCAATCAGCAAGCCCAAGAATCCACCGCCCGGGGCCAGAACCCAGGCCTGGGCCTTTCCTGCAGCTCACCTGCCCCCGTCCCCACCCCTCAAGGAGCCACCCTACGTCCAAGTCTCTAACCCCAACAAGCTTCTCCCCCTAATAAATCCCCCCTCGCCCCCGTCCCCTCCACAGGGTCAGCAGCTCCAGGAGAGACCAAGCTACCACTAACCCCCACCCCGACAGCAGAAGCGCCAGATTTCATTGTCAGCCCGGCCACTCGGCACAAGATCCAGCAGGCGCCGCGCGAGGAGTGGGGAGGGGTCTCCAGGGGAAGTGTTCGGAGCTCAGCTCGGCTCCGTGCAGATCCGGAAGCCGTTGGGGGTAGAGGAAGGCGGGGGTGGGGAGCACAACCGTAAGCGCTGGCGGGCGGGCGGGCGGAGGAAGCACCCGGAGGCGGCAGGGGCGCCAAGTTCCCCAGGAGGCTGCGCTCTCGGGAAGTTTCCCACCGGTTGCCGGGAGCAGGACCGGGAGCGCAGACGGCCCTCGCCGGCCTGGCCAGCTCTGGGGCGCAGATTGCGAACTTGAGCAAAAAAACTCCTTCCTTCGCCGGTGTCTCACTCCCCACCCACTGCCACAGCCCCTCCATCTCATCCCTCCATCTCAGCCCCTCGCCTGCCGCCAGTACGACTGTCGCCAAGACCGAGGAGGAAAGGGGAGGAAGGAATCTCCAGCACAACCAAACTGCGGCAAAAAAAAAAAAAAAGGGAAAGAAATTCCTTCTCCTGAGACCAATTCCCTCAGCCGACACGGAAAACCAACCCCCGAACAGGCAAAGCTGCAACTCCAGCCAAGATTGCGGCGTGCGGGAGGGGTGCCGGGTTTGGAGCACCGCGGTGGTCGGGGATCCGGGAGCCGGCGCACCCCCAGAACGGCTCCCCGAAGGCACAAAGCTTCCGCCAACAATACCTGCGGGCTCCTCCCGGGTCTCCCAGCGCCGGCGCTGCGCGTCTCGCCGTCTCCCTTCCCCAGGCAGCCTCCTCCTCCGCGCACGCCTGCTCCCCTTCGCTCCTTCCAGAACTCGGCAGCCGGAGAAGATCCTTGGGAGAAAAAAATGTGAGCGCTCGCACGAT